CAGGCCAGCCTGGTCTACAGAGTGAGTTCCAGGACAGCCAGGGCTATACAGAAGTCCTATCTCAAAAAGACAAAACAAAACAAAAAGAGCTCTTCTGAGCCATCTCTCCAGCCCCGTCATCCTTTTCATTTGAAGGAAACAGTACTAGTACTACAGATATTGTTATAAAATGGCTCCAGAATGTTCCCCAAAACCTATGTATTGAAGGCGTGGTTGCCAGGCTGTGGCACTATTATCCGGTGATGGAATCTTTATTGGGCCGTGCTCAGTAGAGAATAATTGGGTCATTGGATGCTTCAAGGAGATGCTGGGATCAAGTCTCTGCTTCCCAGTTGCCCCACAGTGAGCGGTTTTCTACACCACAAAGTCCTTGCCATGATGTACCCCTTACTACTGCCCAAAGGCAACATGGACCAACTGACCCAGACTCAAACCATGAGCTAAAGTAAATCTTTCTTCCTTAGACGTTGATTTCTTCAGATGGTTTACTTTGCTTTTGTTTATTTGTTTACTTTGATTTTTTTTTGTATGTCTTTTGGTTGGTTGGTTGGTTGGTTGGTTGGATGGTTGGTTAGTTGGTTAGTTGGTTGGTTGGTTGGTAGGTACTAGGTATTGAACCTAGGGCCTCTTCACCATGAAGCTATGTCCCCAGATCTTCCTCAGATATTTTATTATACTGACAGAAAGCTGAGTAAGATAGACATAGCCATGCTTGATATAATTTCCCTCTCTTACTCCCAAAGATAAGTTACTATCTTACTTTGGATATCTTACTATCCAAAGATACTTAATAGTTAGTGTGTATCCACACTTTTAAGTACATCTATGACTCTACCTAAGCATGGATCATGGCACTTTAAAAACCTGAGATAAGCACGATTATTCTGTGAATCACAATATTGCACTGAGGGTCTGTGTTGCCCAGGCTGGAATCAGGTTCCATAGCTCAAGCAACCCTCTTGCTTTAGCTCCCAAGCAGCTGAAACTCTTAACCTTGTGCGTGTTAGTCGTCAGCCGCTGGGTTTGGCCAGTATTAGTTTGAGCCTGACCCAGCCTGATACCAGTAGTTCAGGTTCATCAAGCCTGCTCTGTGGCACTCATTCTAAAACTGCAAAATTGTTTCGCTCCTCTTCTGTGAATGAGCTTGTAGACACACACACACACACATACACCATATGCACACACACACCATATGCACACACACCACACAAAGTTCTACAAATGGTACAGTCAACATGGTTGGCTAGTCTCTTTCCTGCACATTTATGAGTGCAACAAATCTGCAGGATGGCAGAGTAAGAACATTTCCCAGCTACCCTCTAGAAATGGTTGCACAGAAAAGCTCCCCTCTCCAGCAACCCGATCTGTTTAAGAAAAGGTTCCCACAGAGCAATAGCTAGTAATACCAGATGAAATAGGAGACACTGCCTTTAAATGCACAAGGAAATCTCAAGAAAGCCAGGATATCACATCTGTAGGGGCAAAGGTGACTGGGAATCCTAGCACTAAGAGAGTTGAGGTAGGAGGACTGTAACTTTGAGCTAACCTGAGCTACAGAGGCAGACCCTATTTCAAAAACCATAATAAAACAACAACCAACCTCCCCCGAAAAAAAAAAAAAACAGTAAACAAGATTATAGAGGAAATGAAAATCCAAAGCCTATCTGGTCATGGGGATTGCCTCAAACAAAGACTTAGGCTCCAGAGTTTAAGAGACCATATAATGCTTTTAAGGATCACCTGTCCAATAACTGTGTCTGTCTAAAGCTAAAGCTAGAACACCAGGCCATTACCTAAAGGGTGTGTTGGGGGTGGTTAACAATATTCAACACTCAGTGTCACTGGGACTACCGTGATCCTGTGGAAGCCAAACCTCCTTAGATGTTCAGTCTAACTTAGTCATCTTTACCTTTCTCTCGGGCCACCTTGCTGTCTCTATGGTTACTCCTGATTATTGACTGGACCTGAGGACTGAGTCCTACTGTCTTCCTGTCCCATGGCTTAGGTGAAGCTGAGGTCCAGTCATTACCTCCTCTAAGCTCAACACATCCCTGGCTTTATTCCAGCACAGTACAGAGAAGGGCTGTTGTCCTTTCCAGGAGTTAGGGGTTGGTGGAGAGAATCTGGAGTTAAACAGGTGAGCCGTTCCCTGCATGCCAGGCTCTGCCCTCAGTGCCCTCGTGACTGGGAGGTCAACAGACATAGAAAACAACAGGAGTCTGTCTACAGAAATGTTAGGAGAAAATCATCCAGTAGATAAGAGTTGGCATAACATGAACGAAAAAGGTAAATAACTTAGCTTAAGTAAAAAGCCAAGAAAATCTACATGCGTTAGACTCTCTAGAAATGCAAATAATGATCACTAAAATCAAAAGTTCAGTGGGCGGGCTAAGTGCAGACTGCCCTGTGTGGTTCCTGTTTCTCCACATCGTGGGCAGTATTTGAAGGTGGTGCAAACTGTAGTACGTTGGCCAAGCACAGGGCACATTGTGTTTTCACAGAACTGAACTCATCCCAGTAGGCCCTCCCTCTCCCACCTGCCTGGAACTGAAGACACTGAGGGACTTTAAGCCGCATCTCCTGTTTGGTTTGATTTGCTGCTGTTTTGGTTGTTGAGACTATATGACCAAGTAAGCACTGGCCTCTGTTCTCCCCACCCCCATCCCATGCCGGAATCACAGGCATGCACCACCAATATCAGAATTTGTCTTTTCTTCTGTACTCGGTTCTCTCTCTCTCTCTCTCTTTTTTTTTTTTTGTAAACACTCCCCCACCCCCATCCCCAGATCATCAGTTTTCAGCTGTGCCTGTATGCACGGACCGTTCTTTCTCTACAGGTTCCTACACTCCAAATCCTCTCACCTAGTGGTTTGGTTCATCTTGCCTCTGGCCTTAATTAAGCTAATCCCCAGCTTCCTTGATTGCTCGCTCTGCCTCTATTTCAGGCCCTACTTCCCTTACATGGGCTCACGTGATTAACCCCACTCTCAACGTTCATGTTCCTGTGGACAGGTCTCGGTCAACAGAAACAAATACAATCCGTTGCTAATATGCAGAACCCACAAAGCTTGGTTCCAGCTTTCTGAAGGTCCCACACTGGCTGAGATGTGCTGGTCCAGAGCTTGTTTAAACTATGCTCATCAATTTGGTCAAAATTCAAGGAAAACTGTTTTCCTACCTGCCTCCTGCTTGTTTTCCAGGGGATAATTTCACTTGGGATGGGTCTCAATTCTGAACCAAGCTATCTAGCTATTAAAAGAGTGGCTGACACACAGGAACGAGGCTGGCCTGCAACTTCAAGTTCTAGAGAATCTAGCTTGTTTGGTGATATAAAAGCTTCATTTCGGGTAGATCTCAGAACATTCTTGTGGTGGAGAGTACTACTGTTCAGGAGACTCGATTTTCTTCCTAAACATCCCCAGACAGTTTAAAAAAAAACCACAGCTAAAAGCTATAAAAGTCCTGTAATCTAACTCATATCCTCAAGCACCACAGGCTCAAAAGGATACGAATTGATTAGTTTAAGAACTAAGCTTTAATGAGGAATAGCCTTTCTCTGGACTAAGGTCCAAGTAAGCAGCTTTTACTAGCTGGCTTTCTGCACGTTGTATTTTTGCATCTTTTAGAAGCTGGGGATACAGGCGGGGCCTAAGAAGCACAGTAGCTTATGGAGATCTTCTCTGCACAACTCTGCAACCAAGCTTTCATCTCTGACTCCTGACTTTCCTCTGTGCCATTTGCTTCCAGAGCTCTGTGAGTCTTAAAGTTCAGCCTCATAGCCATCCCTGGGATGGTTCTAACATTCATCAGCAGTTACTGAGTTCCTAGTGTATGCTAAGCTCTGACAGCATTTAGGAAAATCAAAGATAAACAAATTTTCCCTATGTGTGTTCATGACTTCTTCTAGCTTCCTTACAGCTCCAATGCATGGTGCACAAAACAAGCATAGACTCCCTATCTCACTTGAAAGTAACACACACACAACACACACACACACACACACACACACACACTTCACTTTCTACTTCAGACACTTGGGCTCCCCACATAAAGAGTGCCCTGCAAGAGAGCCTGCTAGGCTGAAAAAGGTGTATCTGCCAACCTCCAGGAAGCTGCAACTCTGTGACATCAGTGCCTCTTGTCACCCATCCTTTCTAAACAATAACACAGGTTCCTCTGCTTTAGATACAGTCCTTTTCTAGAAGCAGGCATTATCTACCCACCTGCAGAAACCATGACTGCAAGTGTATTTACCAAGGACAAGTCAACAGACTTCTGAGTCAACAAGAGGGCATTTGCTTGTTGTGGCAACTGCCAAGAGAGCCAGTCAGCTGCTGCTAACCTAAAGTACCGAGATGCAGTGCTGTCTCTTCCAATACCTTTGATTGCCTATAATCATATTAGCCTTGAAAGCAAATGTCCATTAGTACCAACAGGTGCAAAGAAAATATCCTCCATTTTATCAAGATCAAAGAACTGCATATCAAATAACTATCTGGATGTTACTGAGGGGATGCCTGTTGACTCATCTGCAGATTTCAAATTTACATCTTTTCCCAAATGCTTTCCAGAGTAAAGTTCCAAACCCTAGTTGCTTCTTTTCTCCCCACTCCCAAACCCTCCAAGTGGTTTCTGGAACCAGCAGACTTCTCAGTTATTAAAGTGAAACCATTACTTCTGTCTTTCAGCAGACTGGAACATTCTTTTCCATGAACTGCCAAAAAAGTTTATGGTTTTTTAATATGCCCAGTAAAGCTGATAAATTACAAGGATCATAAAAGGCAAAGGTAGCCAGAGGTTCAGAACAAACACAAAGACGCTGCGATGAAAGCAAGATCTATCCGCCAGCCCTTCCCTCCCAAAGACAGTTTTAATTTTCTTTGCTTTTAAGTTTCACCGAAAGGATTAGGTTTTCTGGGTGGGACCCTCCCCGAAGGAGTCCGGTAGCCCCGGGCACCCACAGGCTTCCGTATCCTCCTTCCCAGCTGGAGGTTGCTTACCCTGGCTGGAGTGACCAAGCGCGAGCCCCAGGGCCAAGACCAAGGCAGCGCACGGCCGGGTCATGTCAGCTGGCTTGCCCGCGCTCAGGATGCTGCGAAGCCCCGGCCTCCCTCCAACGCGCACATTTCCTGTTTCCTGCCCCTTTAGGTCGGTGCTCACTTGAAGGAGAGGTGTTTGCCTGATTTTTAGGAAGTGATGTAACTCTGCAGGAGCCTGTCAGACTGGCAAGGGTTGCAACAGAGGAGCTGCTTCACCCAGCGCTGATTCAGTCAGCACCTCCCTACCCCTCTGAAGTCCAGGCCTCCACCTTTCTGTCCCTGGGAAACTCCGTTGCTCAGGTGTCATTCAGCACTGAGAGGGAGCCTGGACCACAGACGTTCTGATTTGACAGGTTTGCACAGCTCTCTGATGGGTCTCTGGAACTGTCCGCAGAGCCCTAGATAGCGCTGGCCTGAGCTCAGTGCTGACAGCACTTTCTCAAATCAGCGCTATCTGGTAATAGCCACGTTGCCTGCTGTGCTTTTATATACATATTTTTTAAAAAAACTTAATTTTAAATGTAAACAGCTTCACGTGCTTTGTGGTTGTTGGGATGAACAGCTCAGGCCCAATCAACAGGGAACTGCTAGTACATTACTCTCCAGCCAGTCCCACTCATTCCTGGGGCCACCCAGCACCTGCTCCGGAGAGGCCCTGTTTGGACCTACAGACAATACTACACCCTGCTTCCCGGGAAGAGCTGTCTTTGCAAGGAAGTCTGCACTGTGGGATCTGCAGGTGGGAAGTGGCTTTTGTTATCAAGGAACCAGCAAAACAGGATTGAATAGGAATAGGAGAGGCTAGAAATTCTATCCAATGGAAACAATAAAGAAGGAGGGAGGGTCTTTTACATACTGGCACGGCTAGAATGCTTCCTAGGCACACTGCTGATTGCTCTCCTTGTATCTGCTGTGGTGCCTAGAGATAGGGAAGCAGAGATGATGAGTCGAATCTCCAAGCCCAACGCCACCCTCCTTCACATCCCATCCTTCTCAGGTGAGCTGCCGGGTGTAAATACTCTAAGTGGCCTGGGTTCCTCAACCCCAACCCCCAACCCCAAGGCAGCCATGACCCTATTCCCTGGCCCACTTCTCAGTTTTTTGCCCCAGTTCTTGTGGACCTAAGTAGTGGTGATTCACACGACAATCGGTGTGTTCATGGACGTACAGTATGCATTTTAACGTCTTAGTGACAATTAAATCCACTCTCGATACGCTACACTTTTGCACCTTGTAAATGATGCAAAGGAAAATAGACGTGCTCAGAACCGGATGATCGGTCTGAAAGCCGCAGAGAAAGAACTGTTCATCACACTCTCGCTGAGAGTCAATAGGCTCCTGGCTCCAAGACCCTGCGGTGCAGAGTTTGGGTGGCAATTATTCCTGTGGGTGTGAGCTTTTCTCCAGCTGTGACACACACCTGCAAAAGAGAAAGTCGGAGATCTGGGAGTTATAGGCTTCACTTTCTCATGTCGTCCCGTGAAAACCTGCTTTGGCTAATAGGCTGAGGCACACGTTTGACAAGGGCAAGGCTGTCTGCTGGATTCCTTCCAGTTGGTGTTGAGCTGAACCCCAAGGCATGGACACACTGTTTTGTAGGCCCTGTGTTGATTCTGAGTAGTGTGAGCACCACTCTGTCAGAATGATGGGCAACACAAAACAAGACCAGAGAGAGAACCCCTTGTGCAGCATTTCATTTTCCTTTGACTTCTGTGCTCTCTAAGACCCTCAGCACGAGGCAGTGAGTGTTTAAGGGGAAGAAAATTACCATCATTGATCGGAAAGTGGTGACACCCCGGAGACCCACCCACTGCAGCTAAAATCACCAGGGACTGTGTGGTAGGAAAGGGCTATTTGCCTCTGTTTGTTCTCATTTCACCAACCATTAATTTTGGAAAGTGGCTGCCAGGGCTTCCGGATTAAATTCTGGCACACTCTCAGCTGGAAATCAGGGCCTTAGCTTTACCCCTCTGAGGCACTGATCTTTGTGACTGGCAGGCCCACAGGTGCCTGTAGACGGCTTGAAACAGCAAGAAGAAAAGGATCATGGTGTCCCAGTGTCCCAGAGATGCCCCAAGATCTCTCCAAGCTCAAGTGGGAACACAGATGAACCATGGAGTACCTCTTGTCCTAAAGTCATTTACTCTCTTCCCGAGAGAGTCTGGCTTTTCCAAACACCTGTTTAAGCTACAGAAACGACTCCTCGCCACAACCATTGCTTTCTGTAGGTATCCTGACTTCAACTCTATGGACCATAGAGGATGAGGATTCCAAGGACCTAATTGAGAAGCATGAAGCTATTGCTGTGTGTGCCAGCTTCCTGTCCCCAGTCCCCTTCTGTCCAGGATATGGGCTTGTCAATATACACAGGAATGGGCACACACACACACCCCTTCATGTCGTGTTACACACATGCAGTACCACCTCATATACTCATATGCACACACAGTGGTGCACACACCACAAGTGTACACATACTTGTGCACACACCCCCATACTCATAAATACACTCAAAGCTTTCCCTCCACACACATTCCTGCACGCTATGGAATAAATGCAAACAAGAACAAACAGCAGCCAATTAATTCCAAGCTCATTTTAGCAAGGGAGCTGGCTACCATCTTTGGCAGACACCTTTAGACAGGCTGGGGCTCGGAAAGCATCCCAGTGTATCAAATGAAAGGCTGTATGAAGGCAGACTCCACAGAAGGCTGCTGGCCACAGAAACTATAGCAAGTTCAGGCTGTTGTTTTCAGTGACTGGTGAACGGCCTGCCCTTGACTTCTCCAGAATCAGACAGAGGGATAAAAATCAGAGTCACTGTCAAATAGTGACCTTCCTGCAACTTGGCTTTATAGCAAGCTGTCTTCTGGAGTGGCTGCTGGAGACGAGGGAGAGGTTTTCAGGGCTGATGCAGGTCCAGAGTCCAAGTGCATCTGTACATATCATCTGCTATTGCCATTTGTATATTTGGTCTTTCTAGGATCACCCATGTACGCTCACAATACTTCTACAATGCACGCCCTGTTCTCACACTCCACTCCCATGCCCCCACCTCCCCCCCCCCCCATGGACCGATGCAAGCTTTCCAGGGCCTTTTTATGTCTCCACAGAAGGTGCTGGCAGCTCCTTGGTACTTAATTACGAAGAGCAGGCCTTCAGACAAGGTTACTGACACCAGCAGTGGCTGCAATCGTCTTTAAGGCATATTGAAAAGAGAGTGAAAAGTCGCTGAAGGCTCCAGGAACCAAAGACATGCCAGAGGGAGCAGGTGAGAGCTACAGCTGGGGCAAGCAGAGGGAAGAAACCCCAGTGTGTGCAGAGAGCAGCGGCCAGGAGAGGGCATAGGGCTTGCTTGCTTCCTGCCTTCCGAGGAACACTGCCTGACTCTGAGTGGCCTGCTTCCTGACAAACTCAGCTGCACTGTTGGAGTTCCAGTCCCTACATCCTGGCTGTCAGCTCTTGTCCCACACTCCTTGCTAGTCATTTAGGTAGTGGACTCCCGGTGAGACAGACGAGGGGGACTTAGGCTTTGCTGGGCTCTAGGCGTGTGTTAGGTATGATGGAAGCATTGCTGAAAGCTGTTAAAAGTGCTGTAATCTTCCGGAGCCCATTCTCTGCAAGGAAGAGGAGCCGTGGATGGGACAATTGGATGCTGTAATTAGCTCGTACTGAACTCTTTCTTGCTGTCTAAGCTGTCCTGAGCGAAGGGAGTCTAGGTCTTACAGTTAGCTGAATCATCTTTCTGGTAACATAGGTGATCATGAAAGAGACCTAAGCCTCCTGGAACCATTTTCACCTTTTGGTGGGGAGGGGGGGACACTTCCCCTGGTAGAGCAACTACTGTGACTAGGGGGCAAGGCCGTGATTGACCCGAAACACAAACCTTCACAACTGTGATTGCTTCTAAACAGCTGTGACTGGACAAACTAATGGCTGTGATGAGTCTAAGCCTTCCCTCTCCCTCTGTGACCTCAAAAGCAGGCTGCTTAGGCTCAGTGGGGAGTCTGTTGCCAAGTGTTTTCCTGTGCTGCCCTCCAGTGCTGCAACACTGGGACCTGGAGTGCTATGCCCTTCCCTGCCCTTCCTTCACTTTCATAGTGCATGCTGGGCTGGTGAAAGAAGGAAGAACGGTAGCAGGAAGAGCAGCTTTACAGCTAAATAAGCATTCATCCAAGTTGTACCTGCTTTGGCTGGATAATGTAGGTACCTTATAGACCAATGGCATGGACATGTGTACATCTTCCTCCCATTTGACAGCTAAAGATCTTGAAGGCACCATGTGGAATCCAACACCCAGACACTGCACTGCATGGTACATGGTTGTTCTTACACCATTAGAACAAGAGAGACAGCAGGAGAAAGCAGATGGCTGTCAGGAGCCAGAGATCAGAACCTGCTGCTCCTGGTCCCCAAATGATTCTAGACAGATGTTTCCTCAGAACCAGAAGGATCTTAGGCCAAAGACAGAGAGAGATAACGTTGCTGCCTCCAAGGGCTGAAAGTCCCAATACCCAGGACCACCACAAAGCAACGATGGAGGACAGATCTTGCTGTTGTTCCTGCCTGCTTGCTGCTACTGCTCACAACTAAGAAGAAAGGAAAGCTTTGAGATAGGTATCTGTGGAGCTGCTCCCTGTCCAGACACGGTGTCTATTCAAGCAGAGCAAAAGATCCTTCAGCAACTCACTGATGATACAGGGGCTTCCCCCACAGACCTCAGCCCTTGCTTCCTTCAGGACAACATCTTCCAGGGTCAAGATGTCGGCTGCCACAAGATGGGAGGGTTGTGGATGGGAGTTCAGGGGCAGCTGGCATGTGGGACAGAGTGCAGAGCCGAGGTCCATGGGTCCTTGGGCAGGGCCTGGGAAGAGGCGGGACATCAGTGGGTTGGCCCCCAAAGTTGATGTGCCTGTGTGATTTACTGGTCTTCCCAAGGACAGAGACTTTCTGTCTTCTCCGGTCTGTCCTCCTTACTAAAGAGTAAGTGAATACATGTTCTTATATGATATTTTTATTGTGTTTTTTTTTTCTAGGGAAGATAGCCACATTAGAGTTATTTTGGCAAACTTATCAAAGTTTGGAGTCCAGGGCCATACTCTATTGAGTGAAGTGAACTATTGAGTGAAGATCTCCACGGCAACCATCCAGAACTCTGCATTTTTAATGATCTTGGGGGGATTTT